CCCGGGGTTGCCATGGCGACGTCAGGAACTGGCCCGGCCCAGAAGGGGAACTCGGCGCTTCCCGGCCGGTGCGGCCCCTTATATGGGCTCCGCCGGGCTCTTCCGCCCCGCCCTTCATTGAAGCCGGGCGCCGCCCCATAGGCTGACGGAAAAGGGAGGAGCCAGGGCCGCGAATGACGTCAGCACGGGGGCTCCTCCGTTCTGCCGCGGGAGGCGGTTGGAAGTGTCCGTCCTGCGCTCCGATTGGGGAAGCCGAACGGAAGGCGCGCACTCATTGGTCGGCGCGGAAGGCACTGGCCAAGGAGGGGTGTATCAGGAGGAGGGAATCCCAGGAGCCGAGAAGATACAAGCAGCGAAACAGGAAGGGATTCTCAAGCCCATGCTCCATACAAGGCAGAGTAGGGTTACGGGCAGGTGGGTGAGCCTGCACTCAGCCGAACTCTTTCATGACTGCAACCCCAAAGAAAGTGATTGAAATCATTGCCCTAAAGCAAATTTTAGAAGGGTTTTTAATGACCAACACTACCATGTTTTCTGATGAATCAGGATATTCAATTGAATACTTCAAATGAAAGCCTATACTTCCATCAGAAAACATTGTTTTATTTGGAAAGGTGCTCCTAATTTTCTGATACAGAACAATAGACTTTTATGAGAGTTGTAAATCATAGGTAAAACCAGGCAGTTTAGCAAACATGACTTTTACGAAAGCATACTTTGCATTTTAATACAACAGTGACTCCAAGTTATGTTTTTTGTTTAATAAAAATGTACAATACTGACCAACCTCCCAGAAGAACTACAGTAATAAAGTTAGACTGGAAATAAACTTTTAGGTGGCACTTTTATTTCTCATCTTCAGAGTCCCAACACTTTTGATCAGATGACAGTGACAAACTACGCTTCACCCAAAGGCACATCTTACTTGATGTTTCAGAAAACAAAGAATAATTTTTTAAAAAACAGATGACATAATGCCTTTTGAATAACATACGGGAAAGGTCACAAAAGCTCATCAAATAACAGCTGAGACAGAAAGCTAGACTATGGAACAGCCAGCTTACAGAAAAAGGCACTCTTGAGTACAAGGCAGCTGTATTTTCTTTCCGTCTGGTATTCCTTTTTGAGATCTAGAGTTATAAAATTCCAGTGACAAATGCAACCTCAACATGCATTAGATTTATCCTTGACCTTCCCCTGTTCTGTGACCTACTTCTGCATTAAAATTAAAGCACAAAGGCCATGTCACCTCAGGAGGACTCTCCCTAATTGATAAAAAGTTTCCTGTTTTCTTCTTGGCGCTGGTGCCACAGGTATCTAAAGAGATTCCCACAATCACTTGGTATCATGAGTTCCTGCAAGGGGAAAAGTAGCCAAACCAAAAGGGTGATGGCTACCAGCTCTGAAATCTGACATAAAGGCAGCTGCTACTGCTGCCAGGCCTATGTTTCCTTCTGTACTGCACAACAGCACAATGGTTTAATGGTAAGTGTGAGAGCAGCAGCAGCAGCAGCGGTGGTGGTGATGGTCAGTACAAACCTCTTGCATCATCAGTTGCAGACCCTCAAAGTGTTTTCAGTTGAAACTGATGGATCCGATGGGACATCAGCCACTCCTAGCTTCCATCCTTGGGAACAGAAGTGAATATCCGTAGTCCATGCATCGACTTAATTTCTTCACTTAAGGCCTAGAAAAGAAAAGCACTATAAGCACCTAGGCAAAATAAAAAGAATCTGCTGAATTACAAAAAAAGCACACACACAACAAAAAGTTTAAAATAGCTGCTTTGCACTGCTTTTTCACAACATACTCCTTACAAGGTGGCTCTCAACAGCACGGTGTTTGGCCCAAGGCAATGAGACATCGCAAAACCATCCTTGACATTCTTGATCTCATCTGGTGGGCTGGAAGCTAAGCAGGGACTGGCAAGGATCTTCACGTACAGCTTGGAAAAGAATCCTGCCCCAAACCCCACAGAGCCATTGCTATCAGTCACGGCTGATAGGACTTAGCTAGGCAGACCAACAGTCTCAATCAGAAGAAGGCAGTGGCTTCCTCTGTTCTTTCTGCTTGTGTGTTGATAAACCCAACTATTGGAAAGATAAAAGAACACCAGATAAAGCTACTTTTGTCCAATGATAGGATGCTGGTTGGGGGTGGAAAAACTGCTACTCAAGTCAGTCTCTTTTATATATTAGGGACTTAGTCGGAGCACAGAAAATCTTGCTCTCATTTTTCACAACTCTTCTCAGTTGAGGTCAGAAAGTTTTGACCATTTTGTTCACTCAAGAAAATGAAACAAAAATATGCAACTGAGCTGAGATTGGACTGCTCTGCAAACCCGAACACACGGCACCCCAAATAAAGCAACCATAGCATTAACATGCAAGTATATCAGATCTGGGAAAGGGATTCCCCACCCCAGAAAGTGGCACCTTGCTTACCTGATTGACCATTTGGTGTTGCTGTACTGTTCTCTTTTCTTTAAACTCTTCAGATTCTATATGAATTTCATACATTGCTCCACAGCCACCTTGACAAAATATATTTGATTTTACCACTGAGTTATACATTCGGATGTCAAACCGAGTTTCAGTTTCAGCAAAGCATGATACCTTTACTGATAAGATGATAAAACGGATGGTGCTACAATTAAGTGGATCCCAAACTGGTTGGATAATCATACTCAACAAGTGCTAATTAATGAATCCATATCTGCTGGAGAGAGGCCTCAAACAGATTGCTGCAAGGCTCCCTCTTAGATCCAGTGCTGCTTCATAAATTAGGTGGATGTGTGTGTTTTAAGTGACCTGTTTAAGTGACCAAATCTGCATATGACGCAGCACTAAGAAATAAAACCAAAACTATACAAGATACTGTACTGTCAATATGCAAAAGAATATGGAAAAGCTGGAACATTGGTCCCAAACCAATTAGATGACATTCAACAAAGATAAATATAAGTCCTGCATTTAAATTATATATATATACACTGGTGCCTCACACAACGATGTTAATTGGTTCCAAAAAAATCAACGTTGTGTGAAACATCGTTCTGTGAAACACCATTTCCCATAGGAATGAATTGAAAACTGGTTAATCCATTCCAATTGGAACAGATTGCCATCGTTCAGTGAAAATCCCCATAGGAAACATCGTTGAGTGAAACAATGTTTCCTATATTGGAATGTATTGAAGCCGACTCAATACATTTCAATGCCTTTGCGAAGTCCTTTTTCGCTCCTGTAAAAGTGTCTTACAATGTTTGGACACTGTTTTAAATGATTGCAATGGTTAGTCCACCTCCTGAAACCTATGCAAACTTAATTTGATGTTGTTCAGAGTCGTCCTTAATTTTTAGTGATTTTTTGAATTTTCTCTCATTGGAATGTATTGAACTTTCCGTCCAATGCATTCCATTGAGAGAAAATTCAAAAAATCACCAAAA